GTGGTCTGGCTGGTAACGCACCATCAGGCTGTTCCTGCAGAACACAGAGTAACCTGATGCTTTAGTCTAAATTGAAATGATTACATAAGCTGCAGTGCTGTAACTGGCCTCTCGATGTCGCTACAATTCAATGCACACTAGGCGTGGAACAAAATGTCTCCAGACTATGGCACAGGCTGGACAGAATCAGCTGGTTGGTGCTGTTTCTGGGAGGGCCTGAGCCTGGCCATTGAGTGCAGTGAGGGGATAAGCACCACGCTGCTCTGCAAGGTGCTCCTTCCATTCACTGGCTGACAAAACAGCAAAGATGTTCTGGGCAGGGAGCCAGACCCTGATTCCCCTTGATTATCCTACCCCCCCTGCTGTGTAAAGGGTTTGAGCCTCCCCTTGAGTGTTTGAAACTTAGCCCCACTTGAAAAAGGGAGAGATCAAGTGCTTTAAGCCTAAAACAGACCTCTTGTAAAGCCTGCTAGGTCTCTGGCAAGTGTGTGTCCTAAGGTCTGAAAAGCAGGAGATAAAACTGACCCACTGCAGAGTCCAAGCTGCAAGAACCAGACACAGACAGTCACAGCATCAGCTTTCCGGAAGTGCTGGTGTGATGCACGGGGGCGGTGCCTGCCCTGAGCGGTTTAAATCTCACCTTCTGAAACCCTGTTCGCGTCAGGCACGCCGGCTTCCAGGGCATTAGTGCCAAGAGCCCCTGAAGGCTGTTGCTGGGGGCCTGGTTCAGCCCTTTGCTGCATCCTGGGCCTGGCACGTGCTCTCGTAAGAAAGCTGCAGTAGTAGGTTGTCTTTCAGGACCTAAAACATTACACAAGCAGCACAATGCCTGTTCAGTGCCCAGCGCCTAAGGGCTGGCTCCCTCGCGGATGCTTTATTGCATGTGCGCTGGTGGCTAGAAATGCCTGTCTGGACTAAGGAACACGCAGGCCCATCGACACACAGCTGCACTGGAAACCCTGCTCGCCTACCTCTCGTTCTACTGGCAGAAAAGTCCTTTGGCCGGTATCGCTTACTTCTCTTGGGCAACTTGCCCAAGCCCTAACAGTTCCCTGAGTGAAATGAGCAATGCCAGCAAAAGGCCATTTCTGTCCGTCTAACTACATCTAGCCTAGGCCTTGTGCCCCTTATAGAACTGTCACCCAGAAATCCCGCCCCAACTTATGTTACTGCCGCAAGGGTCTAGTGTAGCCCTGTCCCCACCCTGGTAGCACCGTAGGGCAGTGATGGGTAGCCCTGCTCATCTGCAATGAACCCAGAACCAGTAATGTCTGCAAGGAATCAAACCCTCCCCTCAGGGGGAGCTGGCTGGGGCTTGCTGGGCACCAGGAGGAAACGGTGGCTCCAGGCAGTTTGGCCTCAGCAGGAGCTGGAGGAAGCTGCTGTTCATGTGCCCATGTGTTTTGCTTTAGCTGGGGTGGGGCTAAGGATTGGCTGTTGTCTCATCCTAAACTACCCCCCCTCCACAAGTCTGGGCTCAAACCAAAGCACAGTGGTCCTGTGTTGACCTCTGCCTTTGTCCCAGGAGAGCCCCGACCACCAGATAGCGCAGGCAGGAAACCTTGTGTCTCAAGGGGTGTTTGTGCAACTCTTGTGTAACGCTCTGGGGCTGTGGTTGAACGACATTTGCAGGAACTTCCCTCGTCCCGTTAAATGCCTTGGGTTTGCTCTGGCCTTTACTCTTGGTCGTCTTCTTGTTTTCTGCTGGGCACGTGACCCAGCCTTGTCAGATGTGTAATATGTTATCTGTGGTCACGCGGCACAGGGCTACAGGAAACCGCCCAGGGAGCTCGACCAAGGCCGGGCGTGTATCCTTTCTAGGTCACGTCTCGTGTTCCTGCTACTGGCGGCTGGGCTGGTCAGGGAAGAGGCTGTAACGTACAGCAGCAGTTCAGGCAGCAGCGCTGCTTGCTTGCGGCCCTAGGAAAACGAGGGGCTGTCGGGCTCTGCTTGGGTAGCAGGGGCGGAGGCATTTCAACCACTAGAATTTCCTCCATTCAGCACAGGCTGTTGACATTGCACAGTTGGGAAAACTCCAGTGGCCTGTCTACACTATAGTGACCACTCAGGCCGAGCTCGAGTGCCTAATTCTCCGACTATAAAGGCCCCGATTTGAAAATCGGGAAGACCCGCTGCGCAGCTCCTCTTGATGCCAGTGAGGCTGGGCTTGTTTCATAGACTCACAGATACTAAGGTCAGAAGGGACCATTATGATCGTCTAGTCCGATCTCCTGCACAATGCAGGCCCCAGAATCTCACCCACCCACTCCTGCGATAAACCTCTCACCTGTGTCTGAGCTACTGAAGTCCTCAAATTGTGGTTGGCTGATTCGTCAGCCGATGTGGCGTTAGGCCAGGGTGGCACTAGACACTTCTGCCAGTGTTGTTATGTCAGACTGGGGGGTTGGGTTTTTGTTTTGTTTAAATGACACAGCTATCCCGGCACCCGCCCTGGCTAGCTGTGGTTATGCTGCCATAAAAGTCCTTTTGCTGGGCGAGCTTATTTAACGGGGGGGAGCCAGCATAAACTATGCACCAAAAGCACGTTTTTGCCAGTATAATATGCAGCTCCCCGGGGCAGGGTGGCAGGCGTACTACGGGCAAACCGTGGCCAGTGTAGAGATGGTCTTCATTTCTCGTGCTCCTGGTCACCCTACAGAGCCGAAGGAGCTCAACTCCTCTGGGATTCGTCCATGAGCTTTGGCTAAAGTTTGACTGGATCAACCCAAGTAATGAAGATTCTGCAATGGCTGCAGGGCGAAGACGTGATTGTAACATTCTGGCTTTTCTGGGGGAAGGTGCAGTTAGAATAAACAGTTTTTCTGTTGTCGCTGGAGGCCATTTTGATCTGGACTAACTAGGAATGAACTCAGGGCCGCACCTTCGCTCCTAGTCACTCCTTGGGCTGTAGTTTCGTTCTGGTATTGCACACCTACAAGGAGAGTGATGCCTTAGAAATGGGAGGGGGGTGGTTGTGTTAAAACTTTGCCCGCTGGTGGTTTCCACCTAGGATGGCGAATAGCGATCCCCTCGCTTCCCCCACTGCTGGGCTGTCCCTACTGCTGCTTCCCAGAACCAGTTATCGCTGACAACGTTGTATGAGTCAGCTGCCTGCCTGAGGCACGCCAGGCCTTGGGATTTTGCAAGTCACACAAGCGTTTAATCCAGTTCAGATTGGGGCTTTGTTTTCATAATAAACAAGTTTCCTTGTCTGACAGCCTATGGGAGTAGCTGTAGCCGTGTCCCTCCTGTGATGGGAGCGAGACAAGGTGGGTGAGGGATTAGGGCTGGGCATGTTAACATTAGCGAACGGGGGGCTCCTGCTGTTACCTAGTCCCCAGTCCCGCTGCAGTTCGGTTCAGTTTGCAGTTCTCGTGCATAAAGTCTATTCAGTGCGTCCTTACCGAAAGGAAGAAAACGGATCACGGGCTAGTATCCTCTCCCTCAGTAAGAGAGCAGGGCAGGGCAGGGGCCTGTGACCATGCGCCGTGTTAATTAAAACCGCTGAGGTCATTCCATCAACGCACATTAACTGGGCGGAAAGTTGTAGAGGTAAAAGAAGGTGGAGAGAGAGCAAGGGTGAGGGGGTTGGGACAGGAGTTTGGGGGGCAGGATGGAGAGGGGAATAGTTATGGAAAGAGATTCCAGGTTCCTTTAAAAACCATGCAGCTCTGGTGCTTCAGGGAGAGGCCCACCAGCCGCAGTAACAGTCACGGGCGATTGCTGTTAAAAAAAAAACCTGGCCTCCTCTGAGCACATGCTTGGCGAGGGGGGTCCGGGGCCTGTCTACATGGGTAATTCCATGAAGAGCAGCTGTGAATTTAAGGCCCACTGGCCATTCCGGAATTGCGTCCCCACACGTGGCGTTAGCAGAGTTGCTCTGGAATCGCTTGTAGCCAAACTCTTTGGTACCTGCCCCTCCTGGAAAACCTTGCCGGGGGGGGGGGAAGGGGGGGTAGCAGGTGAGCGGCTGAGCTACTGGAGGTGACTGATGAGGGCGGCCGCTGCATGGCCACAGGGCTTGGCCCCGCCTGGACTGATTCCAGAACGGTTCCAGACTTTACCTTACTCTGAATTCGTTTGCAAGTGTGGTGAAGGCTGCAGGGGCTCCCGCTCAGAGGGGTGGAAAGCAGCCGCTCAGCTTCCCCCGGGGTGAGACCAGGTGCATGTGAGCATCAGGCTGAGGTGGTGACTGTCCCCTTGCTGAGCACCCGCTGCGCCAGGGACGCAGGACCCCCTGCCCGTTGGACGCAGACGACGTGGAGCCACCCCAGCAATGAGCCCCCCCCCCCATGGTGCAGGCTCAGAGCCTGTTCTGGGGCCCTTTCCAGTGTCTCGCCCTGGGGGGCTAGAGGGGGCGAGCTGGGCCGGGGCTTTCGCCCAAGGGCCCCCTGGCTGCCCAGGGCCTGGCGGGCGCCCTGCGGCCCTTGGGGACACTAACCCCCGGCAGGCCGCCAGCTCCAGAAACCGGCCCCCCAGTGTAGAGGAGCAAAGCCAGGGGCTGCACCCAGCACCCCCCGCCCCGCAGCTGGTCGGCTCGCCCTGCCGGGCCCTGACCGGCCTCCTCTTACAGCTGCCCCGGGCCGCCCCCTCCCCCGCCCGCTCCCTGCCGCCCACGGGCGCTGCGCGGCGGCTCCGCGGGGCAGGGGCCGACCCCCCCGGCCGGGCTCCGCGGCGCCCGGCTCGGCCCGCGGGCGGGGGGCGGGCGGGCGGCGGGCGGGGCCGGGGCGGGGCCAGGCGCCGCGTGGGGCTGGCTCCGGCTCGCAGCCTCGGCCGGCGCGACACCGAGCGCAGCCGCCGCCGCCGGAGCGTCCCGCGGACACGGAGCCCAGCGGCCGCTGCTGCCGCGGGCGGGGCCGGGCCGGCGCGGGGGCCGGAGCTGCGGCGCGTCCGGCGGGGCCCCTCTGCGGGCGCCCCCGGCCCCGGGGCCCTGCGCCGCCCGCCGGGGCCCGCTCGGCCGGGGCGCGGGGCGCGGGGCGCGGGGCGGGAGCCGGGGCCGGGGCGGGCCCGGCGCTGCAGAACCTTGGACAGAAGCGGAGCCGCCGCCGGGTCGCGCAGGGCGGAGCTGAGCGCAGCGCCCCGGGCACCGGCCCCCGGTAGGCGGGGGGGCGGCGTGGGGGGGGCGGGGGCCCGGTGGGGCCGGGGGGCGCTGGGGGGGGCGAGCGGAGGGGGGATGACGGCCGGGGCGGGCGGGAATGAGTGCCCGGGGGGGGGGCTGGTGGGGGTGAGAGCTGGGGGGTCGGGGGCGAGGGCCCGGGGGGCCGGGGATGACGAGCTGGGGGGGGCCGGGATGTCGGCCGGGGTGGCGCCGGGGGGCGCGGCGGAGCGGGAGGGGAGGCTGCGGTGCGGGGCCGGGCGGGGGGCCGGGATGACGGCTGGGGAGGTCCTGGGGGGCGCTGGGGATGACGGCCGGGGGGGGGCGCTGGGGGAAGCCCTGGGGGGCCGGGATGACGGCTGGGGGGCCCTGGGGATTACGGCCGGGGGGCGCCGGGGGGCGCGGCGGAGCGGGAGGGGAGGCTGCGGCGCGGGGCCGGGCGGGGGGCCGTGATGACGGCCGGGAGAGTCCTGGGGGGGGCTCCGGAGGGCGGGGATGACGGCCGGGGGGGTTCTGGGGGGCGCTGGGGGGAAGCCCTGGGGGGGCGGGGATGACGGAAGGGGGCCGGGGGCCGGGATGACGGCCGGGGGCCCTGGGGGGGCGGGGATGACGGAAGGGGGGGTCCTGGGGGGCCGGGATGACGGCCGGGGGGGGGCGCCCTGGGGGGGCGGGGATGACGGAAGGGGGGGCGCCCTGGGGGCCGGGATGACGGCCGGGGGGCGCCGGCTGGGGGCCGGGATGACGGCCGGGGGGGCGCCCGGGGGGCCGGGTGACGGCCGGGGGGCGGGGATGACGGCCGGGGGGGGCGCCCTGGGGGGCCGGGATGACGGCCGGGGGGCTCCTGGGGGGGCGCCGGGGGGCGCGGCGGAGCCGGAGGGGAGGCTGCGGCGCGGGGCCGGTCGGGGGGCCGGGCGCCGCGGACCCACCGGGCGTTGTGTCCCCGCTGCAGGGCCGGAGGCGGCGGGCGCCCGGCGGCGCCATGGGCACGGTGCTGTCGCTGTCCCCGAGCTACCGCAAGGCGCCGCTGTGCGAGGACGGCGCGGCCGGGCTGGGGCCCTACGGCGCGGCGCCCGGCGGCCGGAGCGCCAAGGAGCGCGGCCTGCGGCGCCACCCGATCCTGGCCGCGCTGCCCTGGAAGCGCATCGCCGCCGTCTCGGCCAGGAAGAAGAAGCACTCGCAGAAGGTGCAGCCCGGCGGCTGCCCGAGCAGCGTCGCCCACCGCAACAGCGAGAACCTGAGGAAGTCGCTGTCCTGCGCCAACCTCGCCGGCTTCGCGCCGCCCGCCGCGCCGCCGCTCTCCGCGGCCAAGAGCGCAGCGCCCGCGGGGCGCAAGGCGCCGCCCCAGCCCGGCGCCGCCGGCACCCCGCGGCGGGTCATCGTCCAGGCCTCCACCGGCGAGCTGCTGCGCTGCCTGGGCGACTTCCTCTGCCGCCGCTGCTACCGCCTGAAGCACCTCTCGCCCACGGAGCCGGTGCTGTGGCTGCGCAGCGTGGACCGGGCGCTGCTCCTGCAGGGCTGGCAGGACCAGGGCTTCATCACGCCGGCCAACGTGGTCTTCCTCTACATGCTGTGCAGGGACGTCATCGCCGCCGAGGTGGCCACCGACCACGACCTGCAGGCCAGCTTGCTGACCTGCCTGTACCTCTCCTACTCCTACATGGGCAACGAGATCTCCTACCCGCTCAAGCCCTTCCTGGTGGAGAGCTGCAAGGAGGCCTTTTGGGACCGCTGCCTCTCCATCATCAACCTCATGAGCCCCAAGATGCTGCAGATCAACGCGGACCCGCACTACTTCACCCAGGTGTTTGCTGACCTGAAGAACGAGTGCAGCCAGGAGGAGAAGAGCCGGCTCCTCATCGGGCTGGACCGGTGAGCACCCCCCGCCGCTGGGACTGGGGCACCTTCCTGGTGCTTTGATTTGTCAGACACAGGTGGAGGTTGGGCGGACCTTGGAAAGGGCAGCGGGGCCCCCAGCTGGCAGCACTGACCTTGGAACACTAGCCGCCTGCCTCGGCCTCCAGCAGGGCTGCAGCCACGGGGGTGGGTTGGAAGCTCTTGTTGTGGCTAGTGTCTGTTCGGTTTCTGTAACTGCCTGGAGATCCATTGCTCCCTCCACTTCAGTGCTCAGTGGGGGCTTGGCTGTCCTTTTGCCCAGACAGTATCTGCCGGAGGGATTATCCACGCAGAAGTCTTCACCCTTGTGAGCAGGCGGCTTCAAGAAATGACTTGAAGGAAATGTTGGCCTTTACTTTCTCGAAGGGCCTGGTGGTGTGGGAATGGGGTAATTCAATGGAGTCTTGAGCATCTGGCATTTCACAAAGGGATCCAATGCTTTAAAGCTGGCAGGGGTTCAGAGCTGCACAAAACTTAAGAAAATTAACCTTAAAAACAATCAGTATCAAACTCCAAAAGGGACTTATTGCATGTAACATGTAGTTAGCTGGGAAGGCGAGTGGGGGAGAGGTGGAATTGCACACACCTTTGACTCTGCATTGGTGGCTCACATGTTTAATTCTCAAAATTCCCAGATTTGGGAAAGCCCAACTTTGAGCAGGCAAAACAGTTCCTCACAGGCTTAGAAGTATCATTCGTGATCAATGCTGCAGCCTGTGGTCTAAGGCGAGTTTGGAATGCTGTCTCACCAGTCAAGGCACCCAAGAGGTGAGGTGGCCAGGTTGGGATTGGTGTGAGACCACACTGTGGCTACTTGGCTATTGTTTTGGTTTGCGACGGCAAATAATTCTGTGCTAGTCAGTAACATGACTATCTGCAGCCCACCCTGGTCCTGTCACGAGTGGTGGCCATTACTCTGTTCATGTTTTCTGAACTGCAGCAGTAGTGGTCTGTTCTGATGTGTCTTACTGTAGGGTTTAATGGCACTATCAATTGCTTTCCCTAGTCTACCGGATCACTCTGTGTGGAATGGGGCCTATTTAGCATGCCTATTTAGCATTCTGCCCACTGCAGCTGCCGTCATGGCCAACCTCTGATGTTAGCGTGCGGGTACAGTGTATTTATTGAAACGTAGGGGGAAAAGAGGTTGTTAAAATAATTTCAGAAAGAAAAAGCTCATCACCAAGTGGGCAGAGGGGACTGGGCCTTACAGCCTACACTAGAAATATTAATGCATCTTTCCTTGGCTTAGCATCCTACTGATTGAGTTTGATGATGTCATTTAAAAGACCAAGGTCCCTGGTTCTAGATGCTAACACGCACGTTAATGCTACTGAAAAGTGAATTCACTTTTGGGTTGACGCTCACAGGTAATATCATCCTCTGACTTTAGAGCTTCCTACAGTGCCAGATGTTGAGGAAAACCAAGACTAGGGTTTCATTGCATGTAATATGGCTGCAGACACAGACTAGTTAGAAATCTCTATCTGCTTCTTCAAATCCAACAGTAGGTTTAAGGATGCTGGCATTCTGGCGGGGGGGGGGGGAGGAGAGGGTGGGATTTGTATTTAACTGGGTTAGAACAGATTGTGTTTGCTTCTCAAATTAGCATCAAGCACATTTTGAAAGGCAGAGGAACAAAGCTGTGAAATTAAAGGTCTGGATTTGAGAGGAGCTGGTCTTGCAATAGTGAAGGCTGCTGGACTTGCAAATGAAGGGAGAGCTTGCATCGCCTCTAAAGCTAGGCCGAAATCTGAGCCATTAAGAAACACCGACCACAAGCTAACACTTCTTCAGACAGAGCTGGAAAGAAAGGAAACCTGCAGCCACTTGATCAGTGATGGGTGGGAGGGGAAAGGAAGATCTATTAGCAAAAGCAGGGGGAAAAATAAATTCTCCTCTTGGTCTTTGTACATATTTGTCTCAGCTCCCTCCATTGCAGAGTTGCTGTTCTAAATGGATGGTGTAAAATGTGGCAATGTGATGTCACCTTGTTCCTAAGGTGGACTGAACAGGTCAGATCCTATACGTCTCTTGAGGCATTGAATAACTGACTGGATTCCAGCTTTGTGTCTGGGAGAGGCGTTTTCTTCTCTCTCCTCCCTCCCCCCCTCTATTTATTTTGAAACGAGATTCAAGTTTTGTGAGTGGTTCTGGATTAAGGGAAATAAATGCTACTGTATCATGACATCAATGTGAAATGTATTGTTCCCATTGTGCACTGATCATAAGTATTGTGTTAAGGATCAACTGATATACTTGAGTGTGCAAGCAATGAAATACATTTACATGCTGCTATAAAGAAAACTTTTAGAACAAAAAAATACTAAACTTACAAAAAACCCTTCTTTATTCTTTCATCATTGCTTTGACAGTGATATTGTGCATGCAAACAGAAGCATTGTGTGTCTTCAGCAAACAATCTTACAACTGATGGCTGTAAAAATTACACTCATGCACAAAAACAAACAAAAAAACCCCCCACAACACAAAACTAGTTCAGTATTTGAGTTGGCATTTTCTCATCGGAGCTGGGGATTGATAGGTTCTTCTTACTGTGCACAGTTCTTAGGTTAGTTCTGTTCCAACAGTTGTTAAAATTGCAAATGAAAACAAGGAAACAACGTGCCATTTTTTCACTTGAAATTCTTCATAGATGTACATTTGAAACTGCTAATGATACATGTATCTGTATGTTGTTTTTTTAGTGCAATCTCTTCTGTAGATCTTGGTTGACCAAACTGGTGGGTATAGTTACTTATTAATTTATATTTGTCTCATTCTGTATGTATGTGCGCAGTGTGTTTGTAAGTACGTGTGGTTTATAATCTGACAGACTGTCATAAAGCTCAGTGTGCCTGTAATTTAGCCCCCTTCCCTTATTTTTATTTATTTTTGTACTGTGCTGATGAAATAAAATGCACTGACCATCCATTACATGGAAGCCTTTTGTAGCAGAGTCTTTTGTGCAGCAGCCCATGTGTGTAAGACACCTTTCACAAACGATTCATGCTATTGGAAAATAATTGGATTTGCCTTAACGAAAGAGGGCTTAACACATTTGCCGTGCTAGAATCTTAATCATGTTAAAGTCACTGGGTTCATGGCTTTGCTGGTGGTTGTCGCACAATCTCCTGTGAAGTGAGGAGACTAGAGAGCGCTCTCTTTTGAAGGAAATTAGCCAGACAGGCAGAGGAGAGACATGGCCTTCCTGACGCGGCCCATCAGAAGCCGGGCAAGGATGCCTGCCTCCCTGTACACGTGCATAGGGGGAGTAAACAAGGATAAGGACTGTACGGGTCAGAGGCTGAGGAATGTCCTGAATCATACGGCAAGGCTGTCGCGCTCATCCGGCTGTCCTCCTGCAAATGCACTTTGGGTCTCTGGTCTCGGTAGTCGCACAGTATGAGTATGAATTTGTTTGGCCTCTCAGATTCAGTTTAATTAGGGCAAGTCACTGATAGAAATCTTCCCATTTCCTGTTCTGTGTGATGGTCTCAGACAATGGCAGTTTGTTGAGGGGTGCTCTGTCTGGGTTATTCCCCTCATTTGTCACCTAAATTCAGATAAACCCCAATGAGCAGCAGACGTTGAGAAAGTGGTGAAGAAATGAGCAAGACGGGAAATGAAAACCTCATTTCAGTCCCTAGCTCCACCGAGGCCTGTTTAACAAAACAGCTTCTGTATCGTCAAGCCCTATACTAAGGACTCCAGGGCACCCCCCGGAGCAGTATTCAGCATTTTCACTTAACCAAAGGTCCCACCCAACTGTGCAGGAAACACAGGGAGCTTTGACGGCAGTATGTGAAACATCACTCTTCTTCAATAAACTTTTCAGGGAAAACCCTGCAGAAAAACAAATGCTTATCTCCAGTGTGACTTTTATCTCCACTATAAGAAAGGGAGACCAGAAATATCAGGGTGCAACTAATAGTGTTTTTATTTATTACTTTGAATTATGTAAACAAAAACCCCCAATTACATAATAGCAGGGCTTTTCCCTTTAATATCTTACAGTATCAACTACTTAAAAAAGGGTCATTGCATTATTGCCCCAGGCTTAAAATCAGAATACAATTTAGAAATAATTAATTTATGGGAAAAACAGGGTTATATATATAAACCAGACCAGGCACAAATAATGTATTTCATTTAATAAAGACACATACTTCATCACATACAATATCCCCACCTCGCACTGTTTGAGATTTCCTAAACCCATCCATCATGATTCTATACAACCATTTCGTCGGAGGGATACTGTACGAAAGTGCTAATTAAAACTCTTCCCACTAACGTGGCTACTACACTAGTGATACTGGGGAGGCACTTGGGCAATTACATAAAAAAGCAAAAAGTGCAAATGGAACGGCACAGCGGCTGGGGGGGCGGGCTCCCCTTTTCTTCTTCTGCTTTATAGGGATTAGTGACAAATCAAATCTTCCTTCCTAGCACAAATTACAAGACAGCTTGAGAACTGGCATTCTCCTGCTGAGGAGCTGCGAAAGCCAGGGAATAAGCAGAATGAGAGGTAAAGGCCCCTTATTGATAACCTATCTGCGCGTGCGTACGCACATCCACCCACCACGTGTAGGAGCAATTGCTTGGCTGGGTAGTCGCTTCCATGCTCCTTAGTGCTCTCAGGGTTTTAGGCTCTGGTAAAGCAGCCGCCAACAGTTAACCTGCATTGGCCAACAGCCATAATTGTGTCTTCCCAAAGGATCGGGGGGAATCCAAAAAGGCCGTGAGAGTCCCAGGCTGCAGGATCTTTCCTTGCCATCCAGTACAGCAAACAATGAAAGTGAGCAGGTGACAGGGTGGCTTTGGAGACTCCTGCTCCTTAATGACACTGGGCTGCTCTCGGTGGGTCCTGGCTAGAGGCCACGCGCTGCAATTGTGCGATGTACATCAGGGGAAGGGACGGAGCAGCCATAGGAAGGGGCTATGCCACAGGGACTCTAGCAAACACAAAACGGGAAATTAAGCTTGTCCTAATTAAACACAGCTCTGTAGCTTCTCGCCTCTATTCCAGATACCACTTAACCTCAGAGTCTCCCTAGCAGTGGCTGGGCAGAGACACTGTTGTGACCCACATACCCTCCCCTCTGTCCATAGGGTGGCTTTGTATTCACTATGGAGCTGGATTGCTACCATGCCCCTGAATAGGGGAAGTGCCTCTTCGGGCCCCTCCCCCCTGCTTTTTTTGGGCTGCTAAAACATATAGATCTGAGAGCTAAACAACTGCTACAATGAGGCCAGGGACTGGAGATCCCTAAAATGGGCTCATTGGGACAGTTCCCCCAGGCAGGCCTTGTACAGCATGGAAGACTGGAATCCTGACCTGACCAGCAGTGCCAGAATTGAAGAGCTATCGTTGCAATAGCCCCATAATGTCCCTGTCTCCCCCATTAAAGTACCACGGTAGAAGCCTGACATACCATCCACTGACATTAAATAAAAAGCTGGTTAGTAATTCTGGAGAGGACAATGGAGAGATGGTAAAGACCGCACTTTATTGAACCCAGTGCCCTATTACCAACCTGGAGCATGGAACACAAGGGTACGGTGGCCAGACACATGCAGGCTACGCACCAGCTGCTAAGTATGATGCTAACAGAAAGGCAAGAGAGGAACAGAGGGGGTTCCACTGGCTTGTGCTGAAGGTGTCCAATGCATGGCTAAGGAGGGTTTCTATTCAGCTGCAGAAGAGGAAGTCTCTCCATTTAAGAACAGGGTTTGTGGATTTCCCTCTATGCTTGGACGGAATTGCCCAGAGTTAGTGTTCACATAGTGCAAGACTTGGGAGCTGTGGGCTGGGTCTCCTCAGACTCACCGCTCCCATGTTTCCAGGGCCCCTGCGCAGACTCTGGGAAGGAAACCTCTCCTTAACCGGGCAGAGAGCTCAGCTGCACTGCACCATGTTGCTGGGGCTGAGAAACCACATGGGTCATGCAAGGAGAATGCAGGGTGGGAATCCGGAGGGTTTAGGAAGCAGTTACCACTTAGGAAAGACAACAGCTATGCTCTATACAGCAAAGGCAGCTTAA